GATTGCATGTTATGTAAAGTCCATATTTTTTTTCTTTAAGTTTATGTGAAGCACTATTTATGATTAACTATTCTAGGATGCAGTGATGAACAAAGAAAACAATGCTACTATGTGCACCATTTCTGTTCAATTATTAAGAAACTTTTTGTCTGTGTTTTTTTAATGGGGTCTGCAACCACAAAAATAACTTTAGCTCTATTAATATTCAAAATATCTTTCAATGGTGATGATTGGAACATGAAACCAAGATTATTACAGAAGAAGTTAACTATTTGTTTAGCTTTTAGCTTTGATGATTATTATTCTATAGTTTAGCACTATCTGTTTAACTTTTAGCTTCCAACAAATAATGAACTTGGCACATTAGCTATTCTTTTGCCAACTGTGCTTGCAGAAATCATTTGGAAACTCAAAGCGGACTACATTGGTCATGCATTGGTGTGGGCATTTTTATTTTAACAAATATGAGTCGTAAGAGGTTTGGTTGCTTTCTTCATTACTCTGTCAAAGGGGATAAATCAGTAAAGTTGCTAATAAATCTTTTCTATATCTTAGAAATTTATAAGGACCTGGAAACAAATTATTTTCTTCAAACAAAAAGAGGTTTCAAATGATGTTATAATCTTAGATTTTCATGTTTGAAACATTCACAAATTATTTACAAGTGCTATTATTGTTTAATGTGTATATACTATGCATAATAGGTATCAAACAGGATGGAGAATACTATATAACAAAAGTTGGCACTTAAAAGTGTTATCTACAAATGAGTGCTTGAATCTACACAGTATGTTTAACATTTTGATCAATTTGGTTCAGTTGGTTTGTGTGGAGTGCCAACTAAATTTTGGTTTTTCAGTTTTGAACCAAAACTGTCCGATACCATGTCAGGTAAGAAAGGGTTGTGATTGGTTCTAAAAACTTATTTTTAATGTTGAAAAGGCAAGGATGAGTCTTGCTGTTGAAAATAGATCCAAGGAAAATCATTTAAATTAATATTGAAAGAATGAAAGAACTATGAAAGATAAATTCTTAGGTTGCATATCAGTCACAAAACTTTAATGTAGTCACTATCTCTATAAGAAATAATAGTGGGAAGACTAATTATTTAAATAACAAAGCATAAGTTTTGAATCTTCATTAACCTACATGTTTTATTTTGGTGCAGATGATATTGGCTGACAAAGGCAAATAAAAGTGGAGGATAACAAACATTAAGAGATATCATTGGAAACCTGATCTCCGTAAGGTCATATGCTCGCCGTCATCGTTCGCCAGCGCAAACCCTTCCGCCGAAAGGATGGAGTCTTCATGTTCTTCGAAGACAATGCTGGGGTCATAGTGAATCCCAAGGGAGAAATGAGAGGAAGTGCCATTACGGGGCATATTGGGAAGGAATGTGCTGATCTTTGACCTATGATTGCCAGTGCTGTAAATGATATCGTTTAGATGCGATTGTTATCTTACAAGTGGTTTATTTTTGTGTTATGAAACTCAGAATGTTGCAGTTAGCACTGCTTGATTTGCTTTGTTATCAAGGTTTATGTGAAACTCAAAAAAAAAAATCACATTGGTGAGAATTGTGATTTAAA